ATTTCAACTAGGGTGTAGTCCTTCACTTGGAAGTGTCCACTCCCTTAGTTGATTTTGGTGTGCCCAAACTCAAAGTAAAACCCTCTATTTATAGGTGAAGATTTCACTGTTCCTACCTACACGTTCCTTATTTTTTAAAAATAGTTTTTACTATTCCTACCTACCTATTTACTAATATTTTATTCCTACTTAATCTTTCCTTATTATTTTAATATTTTTTATTATTCCTACCTAACTCTTCTATATTATTTTAATTCTTTTGTAGGATAACCTTTACTATTCACATTTGCCTCTTATTAGTTTAACAATTTTTTTACTATTCATGAAAGTTTTTATTGTTATTCTATTTATTATTATTGTTATTATTTTATTACTATTCATTGATACCTCTTACTATTTATTAATTTTCCCTTACTTTGTATTTTATCATTTATTTATTTTTCAAGGATGCCTCCTAATTATTTCACTATCTATACCTTAATTAATCTTATGCTATTAAAGACTCTCGACTCTTCTAATTACTATTATTATTGTATGGTATTATCATTTTAACTTTGCCCCATAACTTTTAAAATCTTCTTCTTTTAAAATTTTTGGGGAAATTTTCTAAGTATTACAATAGTAAACTCCCACTTTGTTTCACAACCTGCCGAAGTATAAAATTTTCGGCCATTCATATGTCAATTCTCTTTAGTCATGATAAGGAGATCTGGTTACATGTTGCATGCAGTAATTTTATCGATCTGTTTGTTAAAGATGGATTCATGTTTTTATGTTACAATTCCTTTTCCGAGTACATTTCTTTGTTTATACGTAAAATAAAATAAAAAAACTTCTTACAATTCCTTTTTTTTTTGAGTAACGTCTGAAATACCAGTGAAATATGGGCAAACCCACCCCCAGTGCAACAGGCAGCAACAATAAGCAAATATTGTGAAAACAAGATCAGGTAAAAATTGGAGATTAAAATATGTTAATTAACGATAAGACAAACTTGGTTCTTAATAACATAATTAAGAGATCACAATTCATCAAACAATTGATGTAAATCATATACGTTATAATTTAACTAGCATCTAAACTCAAAATGAACTTCCATGTTCTAATCCAAAGTTATAGTCAATGGGCAAGTTGGAATGCATTTTGGTTGTTAGGAATATTTTTTTATTTTTCTTTTATTTTTCAATATAAACGCTAGTTTGTTCGTTTTGTTTAAAATTGTCAAATCACGATTAACAATACAATTGAGCAGTTGGAAATGAACATTGTAAACTCCCATTTTGTTTCACAACTTGCGAAAGTATAAAGTTTTTGGCCATTAATATGTCAATTCTCTTTAGTCATGATAAGGAGATCCAGTTACCTGTTGCATGCAGTAAATTTATCGATCTGTTTGTTAAAGTGGATTCATGTTTGTATTTTACAATTCCTTTTCCGAGTACAATTCCTTGTTTATACGTTAAAAAAAAATTAAAAATGTTAGAATTCCTTTTTATTTTTTTTTTTGGGAAACATCGGAAATCCCACTAGAGATAAGTAAACCTAAACCCACTGCAACATGCTGCAGCAATAGGCAGATGTAGCAGTTAATATATGAGGCACGCGGAACTCCCTTACTAGGGAGCACCGTGATTTAAACAACACGCGCCCCACTTGCACTCTATTTCTTTTTAATTACAAATATGCTACCGCATAAAAAAAAATTTAAATAGTGGCTTTGTTCTGAAAAAAAAAAACAAAAATTCTCAAATCTGTAACTCTTAATTCTCTCGTATCTTCTTCCTCAACACCACAAATTTGCAAATTTCTCCAATAATTCATGAAAATTCCATCTATTAAATTTGTTTAAAACGTCTCTCCGATCATTCAGAACTGAAGTAAAGACCTTCGTTTGGTGAATTTTGTCGGTTACAAATCTCGTTTGGGATTCCAGATCTGACGGTGAAATGCACAAAATCAAGATAGCGATTCTTCTGCCTTTTAAATTCAGATTATGAAAGTGAGGATTCTCTTTTGTTAAAACAAACATAAGTTGTTTTAGATCTGAATTTTACAGGAATTCGGGTTTGAAGTGAGAAATTTATCATTCGTACTTTTTTTGTTTCTAGTTTCTTGACGTTCATTTGACTTTCTCTTGAGTTTCTTGATGTTAATTTGCTGCATAATTTGATGTTAATTCGTTACGTTATAAAATATTCATTGTTGTACGTTTTGCTTTGTAATGTTCATCCTCTTATATTCAGTTGTTCATCTTAAATACATGGTTGTTCATCTTGTGTTTTGAGAAATTTCATTTCTGTATATATGTCATATTGATTACATAACATTGTGTTTACTATGATGTTCATCCTCTGATACTCAATTGTTCATTCTATATATATGATTGTTCATCCTATGATGTTCATCTGGTGGTCTAAAAAAATTATACGTCCGTCACTCTGATTGCATAACATTGTGTTTCATGTGATGTTCATCCTCTGAGTGTAAGTTGTTCATTTCATATATATGATTGTTCATCGTATGATGTTCGTTTCGTATGTCCCTCTAATTGCATAATATTGTATTTCTTGTAATGTTCATGCTCTGAGAGTCAGTTGTTCATTTGTTTCTCCGTTCTAACAGTGTGTTGCTGGATTCTCGCAAGATGTTGTTGCACCCTTGTCTCGCCATTACCCCTGAGATTTCATTTATATAATTTTTCTTAGACAATTTGTTAAATATTTATTAGTCTGTAAACATTATATATTTTTAATATTATTTTTTGTCAACAATTTGTTTTATGAAAATTTGTGCGTGGAATGTAAATAATATTTAGTTTGGATGTTATTTTGTTACAATATGTTTTTCTTTTCTGGTCTAACAAAAAATGCATCCCAAGACATGCAACTTGAACATCACAGTTCCTGAGATGAACTTCGAAGTTTTGTAGGATGAGCAATGACGGCATAGAAATGAACGATTGGTATTACAGATGTGAAATATTGTAGTATATGTTCAATGCAAGTATATGGTTGTTCAATGCAAGTATATATTTTTTTCCCGTCCAATTTTAATTCTGTATTTTAGCTTTAATAACCTTTAAAAATAATTCTTTTACCACAATTTCAGCCACTCCTTACTCAAAGCACTAAGGATGAACAATACAAGCACTGAAATGTATTATAAGTTAATCGTCTAACGTCCGACACTAGACCCTAAGCTGATTGGAAAGCTTAAACCCCCCAAACATAGTATGCTTTTTACTCGGTTTAAATTTTTTAATCCAATTAGGCTAGGTTGGACTAAAAAAATTTATAAGTTAACTGTCTAACGTGCGAGACGGTTTAACCCCTCCTCCCCCAAATACCTAAACAAAATATGTTTTTTATTCGGTTTAATTTTTTTAATCCAATATACGAGACCCTAGCCTGATTGGATTAGAAAAAATTATGAGTTAACCGTCTAACGTGTGACATTGGACCCTAACCTAAACACTGTGTGCTTTTTATTCGGTTTAAATTTTTTTTTTAATCCAATTAGGCTTGAACGAGACCCTAGCCTAATTGGATTAAAAAGATTTATAAGTTAACCATCTAGCGTGCGACACTAGACCTAACCTAATTGGAATGCACCCCTCTAAACACTTAAACACAGTATGCTTTTTATTTGGTTTAAATTTTCTTAATCCAATTAGGCTAGGGTCTAGCCTAATTGGATTAAAAAAATTTATAAGTTAACCGTATAATGTCCGACACTAGACCTTAACCTAATTGGAATGCTTAAAAACACCTAAACACAGTATGTTCATTCCCGTTGTATTGTTGATTTCCACATTTCCATCGTTCATCCTGTTAAACTACCAAGTGCGTTTTATGTAACTGAATCTACTTAAACCCTTTTACACCCCAGTGTTCATTCCGATGCTGTCATTGTTTAGTACCATGGTTTGATTGTTCATCCTGCAAAACTACCAGGGCATCGTATGTGGTTCAGTAAAAACCAAAGTCACTCTACATGTAATATTCATTATCATTAATAATAGGGGCATCTGATCAAGTTGATTAACTTTATTATCCAGAAGACATAAACCAAAAAATAAAGAGCCACAACAAAAACATGCGCTACAACATGAATTTCGCTCAAAATATGGAAATTACTTCAATTATAGAGAAATTCAATTCACCACCAACAACAACGAGACTTTCCTCACATCCTTCTACATTAACGATGCTTTCATACTCTAATTCTTCAGACGATCCATCCGCACTTGAATAAGAAATAACGCTAACAGATCTACTTTCCGAACAACTCATCTACCTAAGCAAAATACAACCAAAGAAAAAGCAAATAAATATTAGAGTTATGAATCAATTCATACGCCATAAATTAAATCAAGGATATCCAAAAGATAAAGCATTACCTTCACACCAATGACTGCCGAAAGATTGCGGTCAAAAAATGCGTAAAGATATGCAACATTTGCTGCAAAATCCATATGAAATTGGAGGATTGCCAGATGAGGTTCCAAATGGGAGAATTAGGTCGTAAAAGGGGGCAGAGAAAAGGGGAAAGAAGAAACAGATGCGCGTAACTCTTTTTAATTTATCGACTCTAGTTTATATGGGTGCATTGTTCCGGGTGCTTAGTATTAATTGCCGCAGACATAGTGAATACAAGATCAGATATGGTTTGGAGATGAAAATATGTTTATTAAGGATAAGATAGACTAGGTTGCTTAATAACAGAATTAAGAGATCACAATTCGTCAAACAATTATTGTAAAGCACATATACTTTATAATTGTTACTAGAATCCATACTAAAAAAAAAAAAATGTAAAACCAATTATAAGAAGGAATCAGAAAACCCATATGCAAAGCCTCTAATTACTAGGAATAGAGGTAGTACTATGTGTATATAAATTGAGCATCAAAGTCATTCGAAAAATATTCCTCCCTCTGATCCAATTTTCCTAATTTAAACGAGCTCTGATCGACAAATCCGGACCGGGCAGCAGAAGCAATGGAGTCTTCACAGAATACCGCTGGAACTCCTGGCAGCGGTGGAGGAAACGGCATGATCGTTCCCCCACACTCTAATGATGCTTCCCCGGTTGATTCCACCGCCGTCGACGATTCAAAGCACAACCTCAATCAAGTGACTAACTCGATTCAGAAAACCCTAGGAATCCTTCATCAGCTCTACCTCACCGTGTTTTCCTTCAACGTCGCCTCCCAGGCCCCCCTCCTCCAACGCCAGAACAACATGGTTTTGGAGCTTGATAATATGTCAAAATTAGCTGAGAAGTGCAATATTCAGGTGCCCATGGAGGTTCTCAACTTGATTGATGAGGGGAAGAACCCGGATGAGTTCACTAGAGATGTTCTGAATAATTGCATTGCCAAAAATCAGATCACCAAAGTAAAAACTGACGCCTTCAAGGTTTTTCGTAAGAGCCTACTGGAGGAACTTGATCAGGCATTCCCCGATGAGGTGGAAGCATATAGGGAGATACGTGCGAGCTCCTCATCTGAAGCTAATTGCTTTGGGCAGGTACAAAGTATGCAATGGAGATTTCAAGGTTAAGAGTGAAATCTAACATCGGCAGCTGATAATAAGTTTTGAAATTTAATAGTCCCTGTAAGAGATTGTCTTGTGAATAGATTGGACTATTTAATTTAATGATATTGTTTCCTTCTAATCAATTTAAACCCTGGATATGTCAATGTAAGTATTGGGATGCCTTTGCTAATTTATTCCAGTGCTTTTGTATACCATAGTCTGTCATATACAGTTGCTCTGCTCTGGTGGCAAAATATTGAAAACCATGCCTTTGATTTTGTCAACAAAAAAAAAAGAAAAAAAGAATCCACACTCAAAATGAACTTCCATCTTCCAATCCTTAGTTGCAGTCAATTGCCAAGGTGGAATGCATTTCGGTTGTTAGGAATTTTTTATTTTTTTTTTTCGTTTTTAAAATACGCAAGTTTGTTCGTTTTGCTGAAAATTGTCAAATCACGATTAACAAAAAAGAAATGTAAGTTTAAGGTGTTTTTTTCCAATCGAGAAAAACATAACAGGTGAACTTAGAACAAATCAAAATGTTTTATAATAATGATCGGATGGAGTAGTATACATGGATTCTTTATGTATTTTCGAAGACTTTATAGAAGCCATTACAATTTGTATACAATTTTATTGTCATACACGGCTGATGTTGGAGGTTATTGGCCTTCAAGTCTTAAAAAGATTTCTTTTTGTAAGCCCAGGTTGGACATCTCTAGATTTAGTAAAATGCTTTAGATGATAAGCAGACCTTCAAGTATTCAGAAGTCAGCAAAATGCTTTTGATTATCTTCATTATTATTCTTAATTTTTTTCATAACAATCTCTCCTCGGACAACTAATATCTGATTTTTCCTGAATGGGACATCTGTCAGTGACTCTTTTTGAGTACAAGTCCTCAACACAATAAGTCGAATTGAGTGAGTTCATCTTCCGTAGGAAAAACTCTTTCCCTGCCCAGAATTAGAAAAACATCAAAGATGAGACTAATCGTTAACTTTGAGAAGGAAGAAAGAAAAAAAGATTAATCAATATATTGCAATTTAATATCTTCATATTGAGCAAGGCGTCATAAATTCAGTACAACCAGGCAGAGTTATAACAAACATTACAAACGTAGAGAACATCTTCTCAAATTCAGAACGCATCGCCACCATTGTCGATTTCGTTAAGATTGTTTGAATATGGGATTATGAATCTCCGGGAGATGTGAATAAGCTGATGACGAAGCAATTGACCAAAATGCCAGGTCAACCTCCAAAAGATCCTCGAAGAATCGCAGTGGTTGTCAATTCACAGAACAACTTATTCTGCTGCGTCTGATCAGATATGAAAGCAGAGTAGCAGACAGAGAGTTTAGCTAGGAATTCTGGAGAGCTTAAGCACATTACCAAGCTGGACCTTATCCCATTGAGTGAAGCAAAAAAGAAATCGATCCATTGATCCCTTGGGTATTTAAGAACACATAAACCTATTAATATCGATCTTTTTCTGAAAGGTTCAGTTACTGTCTAAGATTTCCCCCCTTTCAGAAGAAACTTTGGAGTTTGAAGGATCTATGTAGCTGGGCGTTTAAGAACGTGGGGAAAAAAGACTATGATAAACGATATACCCAAGAAACCGAGAGAGATTTTAGCGATTGGAGGTTCAAGAATTTAGAAAATGGAGAGGAATAGGGTGAGAGCCCTGATTTCGGAGTGAAGTAGAAAAACGATTAATGTCGTGAATTGGAAGGTGTCCTATGTGTTTTGTAGTGGGCTGATACATGCAAGAGGCTGATTCTGTAACTCAAATCAACCTGCAACCTGTCGTCGCATCTTTCTAGTGGTTGAGTTTTGTTGTTCTTGTGACCCTGAAGAGTGATTATGTGCGTAGTTAGTTTAACGAAGCAATGCACAAGCAAATCCTTGTAATTAAGCTCTTTTTTTTTGGGTGAGAAATATTATCCTTCTCAGTTCCAGCAGCTTATTATTTTTTTGCTTCACGATTTACCTAATTCATGCTTAATCTTGCTTTTTGCATTTATTAAATTAGAAATTAATGTTTTGTTTTCATGGAAGACTTGTGCCTTTCAGTTGAAAAACTAGACCACATACGGAACTTCGACTGTGTACATTTGACCAAGTACATGCTACTCCTTTGACTGGATTTTCATCTTATGTCATTTAATTTTGGGTTGTGTAAATCCTCCTTTTTTTTCTTGTGCTCTGAGACTCTGGCAGGGTAACCTTCCATGTTGTGTGACTCTTTGACCGGAAATGCCATGTTCATGTTACATGGAGCACTGCCTTTTTAAACAAGCATTACTATAAGGGAAAGAACTTTGAATGATGCTAATTATATAACTTCTACTCGAGAGCTCCTTACGAATTACTATTCTGTTTGTTAAAAAGTGTTTGGCAATTAGTTCATCCTTTAGAAAAAAAAAGTCAACTTCTCATAATTTGCAATACTTAAAGAAACCATGGGTGAAATTTGTTTATGACAAAAGATATGACAAAATAGCTCCCTTCACGCATCGATTATACATTTTTGAATCGGAATTGCATTGAACAATAAAAGTGAATAGCTTAAAAGTTAAAACTGTAATTGGCACAATGCGGAACGTCCGGTAGCGACTTTCGTGATACAAACATTCGACATTGGTCTTATTATTAGTGTTATTTGGGGGTAATTAAGAAGTTAATTGTCATAATACAACTACATCATATGCATGATGTATCAGAAACAACCCTCAAAAGGTGGTTTAAAATCATCATGATTAGATATGTAATTGATGGATCATTTTCCATCGTAACATCCATCTGATGACTGTCCTACATTCTGGTGTCTTTTTTGAAACCATCTCGTTGTCTTTCTTCTTAATCAGCGGGAGTGATCCCCTCATAACTTTGTTTACACCTTTTGCCCACCCTAATCATCACTACAAAAGGCTCTCTGAAGGAGAAGCTTATGCATACTTTAGCTAGGAACTCAAGGGAGCTCTAAGAAAAGACCCATGCGAAGCTTGAAGATATCTTGTACATACATAATTCATGTTCTGATACGTACCGGACCAATTGATATCTCAATTTGTTTTTTTTTTTTTTTGCAATGAAAGAACACGAGGGTGGCTAATTAGGAAGCATAACCGGGAAATCACAGTATTTTGACTGATTTAGAGCTATTTTGCGTAGGCTATTAATTACTCAGAAACGCAGGAGGGGGAAGGACTAGCTAGCAAACCGATTCGCCCCGAGAGGGAAAGAGATGGCAGCAATGATTGGAAGTTTCAAATTTTGAATTCACAAAAAGAGGAATTGGGCAAAAGTATGCCGCGGCCATCTCTGCAAAGAGTTTTGAAACCCAAATTTTTGAGTGAAATGGTAGAAACTGAACTTCTAAACTTTCTCTCACTCATGCTATGTATTTATAGAGGGGCACTTGACCCAAATTTTTTTCCCAAGAAAGGAAAAAAATCGTCTTTGAACCGAGCATCCCCTGAAACCTGAGGGTCGTTATTTAAAGAATCGTCTTTTTTTTTTTTCAAGTTGTTCTTTTTTTTCCCATCAAAGACCTAATTTAGCGCAGACGATTCTAACAAATTAGAAGATATAATATTCACAAATATGTAGTTTCACTAACCGTTTTTGGTATGTCCGTTTTAAAGTTTGACACCATAAATATGTACTGATTTTTTTTTTTCTTTTGGTGAAAGGTAAACATATATTGAAATCACCATGAAAACCACAATTACACTGTTTAATCCCCATCTATGACCTCAACTTGGTCACTATTACATTAAGGCAAAGACAAAGGAAACAAACTATTACATATCATTCTTTCTTTAACAGAGAAACTTTTCTTCTTACATCCCAAAATCCTATTCTGAACTTCAAATTGAACCATCTTAAAAACTCCTGCACATCTCTCTTCTTACCAGTGAAATACATATGGTTCCTTTCCTGCCAGATATGATAAACAGAGGCAGCCATTGCAGCATTAAGAATCTTCTTCTTGAATTTTGATTGCTTCCAGGTGTACAACATTTGTATAGTCCAGTTCTGGTACACTCTTGGCATCCTTGTCACTCCTAACCAGCTTAAAACTGAAGTAAACAGCCTTCCAGAGTAGCAACATTCAAAAAACACATGGGAGATAGTCTCATCACATGGTCCACATATATAATAAGCATCTGAAATCAGAAATAGCAATAGACATTCTAGCAAGTCGATCCTTGGTCAATAGTCTTCCTCTTATTACAAGCCAGAAGATGAAAGAATGCTTTGGCACATTAAACTTGACAACACATATTCAGCAGACGTCATTCTTTCCCCTGCCCCAACAAACCACTCATACCCTGATCTAACTGTGTAATTCCCATGCTTTGTGCCTTTCCAATAATTGCCACAAAATCCACTTTTCCCCTGATCCCTTACCTTGAGTAATTGCTTCCAATGCCAACTATCATCCAGTTTAGGCTGAGCTTCCCATATGCTACAATTCTTTAGATAGACCCCACGAACCCATTTAACCCCACAAATTATCCTCTTTCTTCGCAATGGCCCAGATTTGCTTCAAGATTGCATCCTTATTCTAGAACTGAGCATCTTTCACACCCAATCCCCCCTGCGATTTCTTGTGACAGACATCTTCCCACTTGACAAGTGACAAGGATCTGCCTAAACTTTTTACACCCAACAGGAAGTCCTTATAGATCTGATTCACCTTGATTGACACACTCTTAGGCAAGATAAAAGTAGAGGACCAGTATCTAGCCATTGACACGAGAACAGAATTGACCAACAGAAGCCTCCCCGCATACGATAGATGTCTACTACTCCAACATTTGATTCTGTTAGTTATTCTGAGGACAATTTCCTGACACTCAACCTGGGACCATTTGTTAGGGGATAGTGGAACACCTAGATACCTCATAGGGAATGATCCTATTTTCAAGCCAGTTAACTGACACAGAACTTTTTGCGTGTTATTATCCACACCGCCAAAGTACACTTCTGACTTTTGGATGTTAGCTATCAGACCAATGGTTTTGGAAAATTGTGACAATACTCCCATAATGGTAAACTAAATCATGAGGATCTAAGGAGTAAAGTCGGATCAAGAACAAGAATAAAGGAAGGAGAATGTAGGATGCAAGATGTTCGAAGTATTTCTCATAAGAAAGAAAGAAACTCTTCTGTATTACGTCTGCATTTTCTTGATATATCTTCTTTCTATACATCATCATATATATATATATACATGAAATCAAAATTCTATACAGCTGTAATCTCTAACTAATCATATTTACAGTCTATAAAGAAACACACCAACATCTAATCTGATCCATCAATGAATTAACTAACTTCCAATCCAAAGGTTGATAATCAAGGAACTTTGTATGAATCAGATCGATGTCTTGGATTATCAAGTTCGTGTAAAGGATTGGAGATCAAGTAACCTTCCGCGCGTGCTGTGTGTGACATTCTGTGACCTTGATCACCTCTCGCCATGTCACCAGGTCCCGGAAATGAAGCTGCAATGTTACCTGTCATGCACACATTCGACTGGAAGCTTCTATCAACTTGTATTGCTGCTTCTGAGTTGATTTCTATGCCGACCTGTGATTCTTCCACACATAATTTCAACATCCCATCCTCAAGTGGAGCTTCCCACAAGCTCAACTTGGACAAGATATGAGTAAAAGGACCAATTCCAAGCGACTTGGTGAATACATCAGCTAACTGCTGAGCTGAAGGAACATGATGAAGGACAATGAATCCGTCTTTATACTAGCTCTCACCACATGACAATCAATCTCTATGTGCTTAGTCCGTTCATGGAACACAGGATTAGCAGTGATTTCAATTGCAACTTTGCTATCACAATAAAAAGAAATTGGCAAATCAACTGATATTCTAAAATCCCTCAACATATAAGAAAGCCACTGAAGTTCCTTGACTGTTGAAGCCATTGCCCTATATTCAGCCTCAGCTGATGAGCAGGAAATGGTAGTCTGTTTCTTTGCTTTCCAAGAAACTAAGCTGGTCCCCAAAAACATACGGTATCCAGTGATTGAATGTCTGGAGGTTTTGAAAGATCCCCAATCAGCATCACTGTATGATGTAACCCTAAGAGCTGACTTGCTAGAATAGTATAAACCTCTAGAAATACTCCCTGATAAGTACTTTAAAACATGCATTTCAGCATTCCAGTGTGAATCATGAGGTTTATGAAGAAATTGACTCAGTTGCTGTACTGAGTAAGTCAATCAGGTCTAGTGTAGTTTAAGTAGAGCAGCTTTCCCACTAACCTTCTGTATTTTTTAGGATTGTGATACGCAGGTGTGGTGTCTTTATCCTCTGAAGGAAACTTGAGGTCTTTTGGAAAAGGAGTAGAAGTTTCTGTACAATCTAGCATCACAGTGTCTCTTAGCAAATCAGTAACGTACTTCTTCTGACTAATATAAATGCCTTCAGTTGATCTTTCAATCTCCATTCCCAAGAAATACCTTGCTATTCCAAGATCTTTGATGGTAAAGACTTTATCCAAAAATTTCTTCACCTGCTATATGGCATGATCTGAGGTATCAGTAATCAACACATCATCTACATACACAAGAAGATATAGCTGCAAATCACCATGATCCAAGGTGAAAAGACAATGATCATGATAAGATTGGTAAAAACCATAAGATTGGAGTTTAGAGGTAAACTCCTTATTCCATTGTCTGCTTGCCTGTTTCAAGCCATATAAGGACTTCCTTAGTTTACAAACCTGTCCCTTTTTAGCCTTTGCATAGCCTAGAGGTGGATGCATATATACCTCTTCTTCCAAGTATCCATGCAAAAAAGCATTATTAATGTCAAGTTGATACACAAACCACTGTTTTGCTGCTGCAATAGCAAACATCATTCTGACTGTGACAACCTTGGCAACAGGTGAAAATATCTCAGTGAAGTCTTCTCCTTCTACCTGGTTATACTTGGCAACCAACCTTGCCTTGTATCTCTTAACTGATCCATCAGGATTGCATTTTACCTTGTACACCCATTTTGATCCCACTGCTTTCTTTCCCTGAGTAAAAGTTGTCAGTTCCAAGGTTTCATTGTCCTCCATAGCTTTTAACTCTAAATTCATGGCATCTACCCATCTCTAATTAGGTCTAGCCTGATTATAATGACTAGGTTCATGGATAACAGATAGATTTGCAACAAAGTCTTGATATGCAGGACTGAAAGAGTATGTAGAATCAGAAGGATGACAAACTGATAAAGCGTCATCACAGAAGAAGGATGTATGAAAATCTGTCAGTTTAACTGATGGTTTCCTAACTCTTTCACTTCTTCTGAGAGGAACAATCATTGGGTCAGAACTGGTACTGTGATGATTACTACTATGTTCTGAAGAGCTTGAAGAATTGTTTTCTGGATCAGTGGAATAATGATTATGATCAGGAACAGGTTCTGATGTATTTGGATTGTCATCATGGGAATAAGTTTGATCAAAAAGAGAATTCTGATAAAAGTTGTCATTGGAATCATATATTTGGATATTAGGCAAAGGAATGCAATCATCAGTATCTGTGAATGAAGGATAAACATCTTCATGAAAACAACATCCCTGGATACTATGATTTTCTTTTGATCTAGACAGAAAATTTTGTAACCCTTTTGACCTGAAGGATATCCTACAAATATTCCCTTGAAGGATCTAGGATCTAGTTTGTCTCTACCAGGTGCATTATTGACTGCAAAACATAGGCATCCAAAATTCCTTAAATGTAGGAAGTTTGGTTTCTGTTTATACAAAATCTCAAATGATGTTTTCCAAGACAACACTCAGGAAGGCCATCTGTTTATAAGGTAGGTTGTAGTCAGAATACACTCCCCCAAATCTTTTTGGTAATTTGGATTGAAATAGCAATGATCTAGCCACATTCAACAAATCCCTATGTTTTTTTTTCAACAATTCCATTTTGCTGTGGGGAATATGGACAACTCCTTCGATGGAAAATGCCCTGTTGATCAAGAAATTGCTAGACTGATTTGTTTAAAAATCCGGTTCCATTGTCAGTCCTGATGATCTTGACAACAATTTGGAATTGTGTTTTAACCATGGCTATAAAACTTTCTAATAAACTTGGAACTTGGCTTTTATACTGGAAGAAATAAGTCCAAGTGCATCTGCTACAATCATCCACCACAGTTAAGAAGTAATGACAATGAGATATAGTTCCCTGATGAAATGGCCCCCAAATATCCATATGAATCAGATCAAAAAAAGCATTACTTCTCCCATCATGACCAGTAAAAGGTAATCTGTGTTGTTTAGAAAGAGGGCAAATATCACATTTATTGATTTTGACTTGTTTGTCAAGAGAAACAGTATAACCATGGATATGTTGCATTAAATCTATGGAAGGATGTCCTAATTTGCTATGTATAGTCTCAGAAGGGACTGCAGTAAGAATATTATTACAAGCATTTTCTCTATGAGAAGATATCCTATACATACTACAGGACTGCATATAAGATGCATATAATTCCTGTGACTTTGAAATGGCTTCTGTGGTGAATGAATATGAATCCAAGATGTAAAGTTCTCTGATGACTCTTCCTGCTGCAAGGACCTTCCCAGCTCTAAGGTCCTACAGAAGACAAAAGCCAGCATAAAACAGGAAAAACGTTTGTGAGGTTTTGGCTAATTTCCTAACTGATAGGAGATTGTATTTGAAGCTGGGTAGGTGTAAACAGGAAGTCAAAGTAACTGTTTCAGAATTACATCACCATAATGGCTAACAAGTTTAGTACTACCATCAAGCAACCACACAGGGGTATAAGATTTAAAAGGACTAGCATGATGCATTAAGGAAAAATTTGTGCACATATGTCCTGTGGCTCCAATATCTATTACCCATGCAAAAGAACTTATGTCATTATATAGGCTACTACTAAGTTGAGAATAAGTTGAGCTACCTGCAAATTCATGAACATGTGCCAGATTCACCATCTGTCCTCCTGGTGTTGCTGACATTTTCCCTTTGCTGATCCTTTCCAGCTCCTTTTGGACTGCATTGTTAAACATTTGCTGGTATGATCCTGTCAGATTAGCATAGAAATCCAAAGGTGTATTTCCCACAGTGTTATTTCCATTTCCTTGTGCAAAACTTTGAACCATTTCCTTAGTCATTCCTTGTTGAGAGTAACCACTGCTTGGTATATTTCCCTGCACCATACCAATGTTGCTCTGTGTGGTTCCTGTGATTTGTCCCATATCTACCATGTTTGTTGCACTAAATTTTCGTCCTCTTTTCTTAGGATTAGGCCACCAATCAGGGAAACCTTTCAGCTTAAAGCAATCCTCCACCAAATGACCAGTGCCCAGGCAATGTGTACACTTAAGGTGACTCTTATCCACCTTTTGATATCCACCAGATTTTCCAGCATTATCTTTTTTCCAGTTTCCTGTCTTAGCAAGCATTGCTGTATTTTCTGGTCGTCTCATCATCATAGGTGTTGCCTGCATCAACATAGCTGAATTTTCTGTGCCAGCAGCCATATGAACAATCACCTGTTTAGCTTTCTCAGAAGTAGTTATCATGCTATAAGCCTTATCAATTGATGGCATAGGATCCATGAGCAATATTTGATTCCTCTCTGATTCATACACGTCACTCAGTCCCGCAAAAACTCCATTACACGATCCTCATTATCTAGCCTTATGATCAAATCACCTACTGATCCTTCTACAACAGGTACAGGCCTTAATTCCTCATATTGATCCCAAATCTGCTTGATCTTAACAAAGTACTCACATACAGTCATATTACCTTGCCTAAGTAGTGCAATTTCTCGTTTCAATTCAAACAGATGTGGCAAATTAGTGGTTCCAAAACGCTGTTCTATGCTCTTCCACAATTTTCGTGCATCATGTATAAACATAAAAGTATTCATGATTTCTGGAGACATAGAACTTTTGATCTAGGAACATACCAGACTATTTGCTCTTTTCCATTGAAGAAGGATTGGTGAATTCTCTGCAGGCATAGGAAAAATTCCGTCGATAAATCCGACCGTCATTTTCTCTTCTGAAGTAGAAATCATAGCACATCTCCAATCAGATAATTCCTGTTAGTCAGTAACAGAGTAACCAATTGCATCCCTGGATTCTCAGATCCATGCACATTCAGCTGTTCCTCAACCAGAGAGTAAGCTCCTCTACGCTCGTACTGTTCTTCCATCTTGTCTCCTCGACTTAAGATCCTGATCTGAAAATCTCAAGCCTCTTTAAGATTAAATCAAAGAACCGGAAAAACTGAAGAACACGTACTGATACAAATAGTAGAATATTGAGAAGGAAAAGAAAGAAAATCAGCGGAATTCAGAGCAAGTTAAACCTGCTCTGATACCATCATGAAATACTCAGAGTAAATCATAAGGATCTAAGGAGTAAAGTCAGATCAAGAAGAAGAAGAAAGGAAGGAGAATGTAGGATGCAAGATGTTTGAAGTATTTCTCATAAGAAAGAAAGAAACTCTTCTGTATT